TGTCACATGTGATCCCTTTAAGATTTGGTATAGACTAAGATTAGGAACAGACTTTTTAGGGGAGTGTTAAGGTGGAGGATTTTTGCGAGAGCCGCCCTCTCCACTTAAAAAAAAAATGCACAGGTACAACCCTGTACCCGCTCCCGAGAGGGAACGCCTATTAAATGCGTTCGAGAGCGTGCACGATTCCATTTCTCCTCGTGCACGCTGTGTTTAAAAGTTGCTGTTCTCATAGCTCAGGGGTCTTCAATGTTTCCCAGGCCAAGGACCCCAAACTGATGGAGCGGGGACCCCCTGAATATATAGATATCAAACTGGTCCTATAGTCCCTCTATTACAGATGGAGTAATGTAACTAAAGTAATCCCTCCCTGGGATTATTAAAGTATTTCTGGTTCCTGGTTGATGGGACAGGTGTTGTGAATGAAACGGTGCCCAGCTTGAAAGAGCTCCTGTGTGTCTCTGAATGTGAGCATTGATGACTGAAAGACATCTTCTGCCTCCATTTATCTGTTTACTACAGTCTGTTGGATTCATGTTAATGTGGATTTAAAGACATTTGAATTAGTGAAAAAAATGCAGGGGGGATATAAAAAAAAAAAGTCTAATCAACCTAAAGTTTGGCGACCCCCATGCAGTACCTCTGTGGACCCCCTAGGGGTCGCAGACCCCCTGTTGAAGACCTCCGTTATAGCTCAACTGTTCAGCTCAAGTTAACTGACCGTTCAGACAGATGATCGCTGTTGGCCCACTGCACGGTTCCTGCGCCATCTTTGCTATTATTCGTTAGTTGTTATTCTTCGTAGACACTTTTTCTCTTTCGATCTTCGGCCATTTTCAAAGAACCGCGGTGAGAAAGGTGAGCTTCAATAACTGTCTGAAACCGTAGCTCACCACAGATATACGCCTGAAAATGCGCAGAAAAAGCTAGCTAACAGGGCTAGCACATAGGACGGCCTTACGTAAACATATCACCAGAATGATTGACAGTTAGGAGGACCACTGATTGAGATGATCCACCCGGAAGTAAAAGATCCTCCTCTATACCATTAAAGAGATAAAATTAATAATATATAGGAATAAAAGTAATTAGAAAATTAAAACAGTAGCTTTATTTTAGCTGCTCACTATTCTGTTAAATTCTGTTGAAATCAGAGATGTTTAGCTGTGTTCTGATCTAAAAGGCCTTGTTCTCGTAAACCTTAGGAGTCAGACGCCCAGGCTGCATCCCCTAAATCAGATGGAATGCATCCAGCTGTCACTAATCACACCTGTGCTTCTTCTGCCAGAACTTGTACAAAAATGCCTCTACTCTGTGCCGGACTGGACCCCCACCCCAGGAAACCTCAGCTGCTCTGGTCTTCTGCTCCTCAATCTCCTCACTGCAGAGTTAATCCTGCAGCGTCCCAGATCTTTACTGGGACTGAGCCCCAGTGGGAGGTGGAAATGAGATTTCAGAGGGCAGCGCCGGCCACCTCTTTAATCAGGGGGGGGCATTGGTAAACGGGGGCGGGGGAGGATTTGCTGCGTCCCCATAAATGCAGGTGATTTCTTAGTGAACATTATTGCCTTCCAAGGCTGACAAAAACATTCTGTGCAGTTCGGCCTCAAAACCAAAGTGTGTTTTGGTTTTCGCCCCCCCCCCCCCCCCCCCCCCCCCCCCCCCCCCTATCAAAACTCCCCTGGATGTTATAAGGGCCCAGAACTGCCCCCCCACCCGAGGACACCTATGGATGCGTTCAGAACTGTTGATAATCTTCCATCTTATCAAAGACGATGGCCTCTGGACAGCATTCATGGACAAACTGACACACAACTGATGCTCAAACAGCAGATAGACCCACGTGCCTCCAAAGCCTCCAACGTTAGACTCCTCTGATATCATCTGTCTCATGTTTATATGTGCTTTTTTTTCCCTGAGGTGATTTTTCATATCTCAAACTGGACCCTGTCAAGGAGAAAGTGTGAAATATGCTTTTTATTCCCTCTGACTCTCTTTCCACAGAGATTAAATGCAGCGCCCAAAGGGAACCGCCTCCTGTCACTATGGAAGAGGATTGAATGTGAGAAAACAGACAGAATTCTGACAGCTAGCAAGTATGTTAGCATCCAGCCATAGCCATGTCTGTTTTAGAAACCAGCTCTCTGGTTTTAATCTCCTTCTTCTCTTCCATTAATGAAATAGCATCACCAGGGATCCTCAGGGACGAAAAAAGTCGCCTAAATCCCTTAAGTCAGAATTCTGAGATTAAAGTCAGAAGTCTGACTTTTTTCTCCGAATAAAATAAATAATTAGTTCAGGTTTCTGAAAAAAAATCAGAATTCTGAGATTTAAATTCTGATTTCTGGAAAAAAAAAAAAAAAGGTCAGAACTCTGAGAATAAAGTCAGAATTCTGCCTTTTCTCAGAAATCTGAATTTATTATTTATTTTATTCTGAGAAAAAAAAGTCAGAATTCTGAGAATAAAGTCAGAATTTTGAGATTAAAGTCAGAATTCTGACTTTAATCTCAGAATTCTGACTTTTTCTCAGAAACCTGAATTTATCATTAATTTTATTCTAAGAAAAAAAGTCAGAGTTCTGAGATTATATTCAGAATTTTGGAAAGAAAAAAAAAGTCAGAATTCTGACTTTTTTCTCAGAATAAAATAATTAATTCAGGTTTCTGAGAAAAAAAAATCTGAATTCTGAGATTTAAATTCAGATTTCTGAAAAAAAGGGCAGAACTCTGAGAATAAAGTCAGTATTCTGCCTTTTTCTCAGAAATCTGAATTTATTATTTATTTTATTCTGAGAATAAAGTCAGAATTCTGAGAATAAAGTCAGAATTTTGAGATTAAAGTCAGAATTCTGACTTTAATCTCAGAATTCTGACTTTTTCTCAGAAACCTGAATTTATCATTAATTTTATTCTAAGAAAAAAAGTCAGAGTTCTGAGATTATATTCAGAATTTTGGAAAGAAAAAAAAAGTCAGAATTCTGACTTTTTTCTCAGAATAAAATAATTAATTCAGGTTTCTGAGAAAAAAAAAATCTGAATTCTGAGATTTAAATTCAGATTTCTGAAAAAAAAAAGGGCAGAACTCTGAGAATAAAGTCAGTATTCTGCCTTTTTCTCAGAAATCTGAATTTATTATTTATTTTATTCTGAGAATAAAGTCAGAATTTTGAGATTAAAGTCAGAATTCTGACTTTAATCTCAGAATTCTGACTTTTTCTCAGAAACCTGAATTTATCATTAATTTTATTCTAAGAAAAAAAGTCAGAGTTCTGAGATTATATTCAGAATTTTGGAAAGAAAAAAAAAAGTCAGAATTCTGACTTTTTTCTCAGAATAAAATAATTAATTCAGGTTTCTGAGAAAAAAAAATCTGAATTCTGAGATTTAAATTCAGATTTCTGAAAAAAAAAAGGGCAGAACTCTGAGAATAAAGTCAGTATTCTGCCTTTTTCTCAGAAATCTGAATTTATTATTTATTTTATTCTGAGAATAAAGTCAGAATTCTGAGATTAAAGTCAGAATTCTGACTTTAATCTCAGGATTCTGACTTTTTCTCAGAAACCTGAATTTATCATTAATTTTATTCTAAGAAAAAAAGTCAGAGTTCTGAGATTATATTCAGAATTTTGGAAAGAAAAAAAAGTCAGAATTCTGACTTTTTTCTCAGAATAAAATAATTAATTCAGGTTTCTGAGAAAAAAAAATCTGAATTCTGAGATTTAAATTCAGATTTCTGAAAAAAAAAGGGCAGAACTCTGAGAATAAAGTCAGTATTCTGCCTTTTTCTCAGAAATCTGAATTTATTATTTATTTTATTCTGAGAATAAAGTCAGAATTCTGAGATTAAAGTCAGAATTCTGACTTTAATCTCAGGATTCTGACTTTTTCTCAGAAACCTGAATTTATCATTAATTTTATTCTAAGAAAAAAAGTCAGAGTTCTGAGATTATATTCAGAATTTTGGAAAGAAAAAAAAGTCAGAATTCTGACTTTTTTCTCAGAATAAAATAATTAATTCAGGTTTCTGAGAAAAAAAAATCTGAATTCTGAGATTTAAATTCAGATTTCTGAAAAAAAAGGGCAGAACTCTGAGAATAAAGTCAGTATTCTGCCTTTTTCTCAGAAATCTGAATTTATTATTTATTTTATTCTGAGAATAAAGTCAGAATTTTGAGATTAAAGTCAGAATTCTGACTTTAATCTCAGGATTCTGACTTTTTCTCAGAAACCTGAATTTATCATTAATTTTATTCTAAGAAAAAAAGTCAGAGTTCTGAGATTATATTCAGAATTTTGGAAAGAAAAAAAAAGTCAGAATTCTGACTTTTTTCTCAGAATAAAATAATTAATTCAGGTTTCTGAGAAAAAAAAATCTGAATTCTGAGATTTAAATTCACATTTCTGAAAAAAAAGGGCAGAACTCTGAGAATAAAGTCAGTATTCTGCCTTTTTCTCAGAAATCTGAATTTATCATTAATTTTATTCTAAGAAAAAAAGTCCGAATTCTGAGATTAAAGTCAGAATTCTGACTTTTTTCTCAGAATAAAATAAATAATTAATTCAGGTTTCTGAGAGAAAAAAATCTGAATTCTGAGATTTAAATTCAGATTTCTGAAAAAAAAAGGGCAGAACTCTGAGAATAAAGTCAGTATTCTGCCTTTAATCTCAGAATTCTGCCTTTTTCTCAGAAATCTGAATTTATTATTTATTTTATTTTAAGAAAAAAAGTCAGAGTTCTGAGATTAAATTCAAAATTTTGAAAAAAAAAAAAAGAAAGAAAGGCAGAACTCTGAAAATTAAGTCAAAATTCTGACCTTTTTCTCATATTAAACTAAAATAAAATTCAAAATCAGTTACCTTTTTTTATTTTTAAATGGCCCTAATCCTCTTCCGTACATCCCTAACAGACCCGCATGAACAACCAACTCGCCCGCATCATCCCCGCGCGCGCTCCCTCCTCCTCGCGCCGCGCTCGCGCTGTCATGGTCGCCTCCACTTACCGAGCTTTCCCCGGGACTCCTCCAGCTTCTGGATCTGGTTCTCCAGGAAGAACATGGCCACTGCGAAGGCGAGCAGCGCCAGCAGCTGCAACTTGGGCGGCATCATGACTCTGAGCAGCCCCATCAAATCATCCAGGAAGGGGGGGTTCGGTCACTCCATCCTCCGAAGGAGAGAAAAGACCGAAACAGGCTGCGGGGGTTTAATCAGGGGCTGAGAGCATGGCCCTCTGGTACTCGCTGTGGATATCCTCCAGTCACCTCCAGAGGCAGATCCCCAGATTTAATTCATCGCTGCGGGTTGTAAACCGCCACAGAGCCCCGCTGGTTTCAGCAGAAAGCGGATCGGAACCAGACTGGTACCAGTGTCCCCTGTCCCACCTAGTGTGGCTCCCACCGCACCGCGGACACATCCACTGTTTGCCACCCAGACCATTGGATGTAGAATCAGTCCAGCAGCCAGCACAGGCTTTCTATTCGTCCACTTTTACTGCCTATTCAATCCGGATTGGACGGTTTCATTTCATTTACCCCGACCAGACAGCAGGGGTCGCCCTTCATTCAAAACCCTGGAAATCCGTAAAGACAAAGAAGATAATTTTTAGTTGGCCTTAGCTAACGCCAGACTAAAATACATACATATTATGTTTTTTATTTTTGTTCTTGTAAATAAGAAAAAATAAAAACGGATTTTTTACAAGTTATGATACTGATGTTTGAGTAACAGTCAATAAAATTGCGAGATAAATCTACTATTAATACTCGATATAAGACAGGCCAATGTAGCTTACCTTGAGCAAACCGATAAAGGACCGCTGTAGCAGTTTCGCTCATAAAGCAGGGAACAAAATGTCGGGAGAGGTTTACCTGCTTTGGCTGCTGTCGCTGCTCCAGACGGTGAGTTTATTAACGCAGAGAGAGTGGGCGATACCCACGCAGAGTGGGGTCTGTAACAGTCCGGGGGCGGGTGGGGAGCTTATCCCGGCTCCGGGGATCCGATCAGCAAACCGCATCCTGTTGTTCCTGGAGCCGCTGCGTGACGTGGCTCTTCCTCTGCACCGCCGCGAGACACCGGCAATCATTGAACCGATTGGTTTGAAGTAAATCCGGATGATGTTGTTACCAGAAACCAGCTGAAAAATTCATTTATAGATTTCTAACGAGGTTTGCGAGAGACTACGTCACTGAATTTAGACTTCCGGTTTTGTTGTTTCCGCTCAATCTGTACCTTGCTGGTCCAGGCTGATCCTGAATTAGATTTTAAAATAATTACTCTTACAGGTGGTGTGGATGACATCAGCAGGAGGGTTAATCAGCCTCCAGGTTTTATGATTTTATGGGATGTCAAAATAAAAACAGCTGAAAGTGAATTAAAAATTAAACTTTATTGATCTCAGATTGGGGACATTCACCTTGCATTTAACCACTCCCCTTGGGCAGCAGTGGGCTGCCATCGTGCGGCGCATAGGGGGCGGTGTGGGGTTACGGGTCTTTGCTCAGAGACCCAGAGTGGCAGACTGTGGAAGTGGGTTTTGAACTCACAACCTCTGGATTTTAAGCCCTAACCCAGGGCTCTTCAAGGTTTTCCAGGCCAAGGACCCCAAACTGATGGTTAGATGGAGCGGGGGCCCTCTAATTATATATATTGTATAAAATAGTGTTCTAAAAAACTGGTCCTATAGTCACTCTATTACAGATGGAGTAATGTAACTAAAGTAATCCCTCCCTGGGATTATTAAAGTATTTCTGGTTCCTGGTTGATGGGACAGGTGTTGTGAATGAAACGGTGCCCAGCTTGAAAGAGCTCCTGTGTGTCTCTGAATGTGAGCATTGATGACTGAAAGACATCTTCTGCCTCCATTTATCTGTTTACTACAGTCTGTTGGATTCATGTTAATGTGGATTTAGAGACATTTCAATTAGTGGAAAAAAAATTGCAGGAGGGAATATTAAAAAAAGTAATCAACCAAAACTTTGGCGACCCCCATGCAGTACCTCTGTGGACCCCCTAGGGGTCGGGAGCCCCTGCTGAAGACCTCCCCCCTAACCACTAGGCCACCACTCCCCAACTCTCTCTAAATCCACCCTGAAGATGAAGAATCTAAACCAGGCTTACAAACATTATCATCTTTATCATTCATTTTACCTTTCTCCTGATTATGATTGAAATATACTCTGACAGAATATGTGACAAATTTGATCATTTATTGTGAGCGGATATGATTTCGTAATAATCAGGATATAAATGAATGTTTTGTTTTTTTTTCTCCATTTTTTTTTTTTTTTTTTTTTCAAATTTCCATTTACAAAATGGTGTTTTTTGCTCGCAACAATAATGGGACAATAATGGAACAAAGTTCACTCCATACTCCTTCCAATGGATGAAAACCTGTCAAATTGTCCTTTTTTCCCAACATTGTAAAAGTTGGTTGAAAATTCTGATGATGTTTGGATAGAAAGGCGGATACCGGCAGATTCAGAGCAGAAGAAAACTAAAATAATTCATAATTGGTGTAAAAACACGACTGATTGAGGTGTTACAGTGGTCTAGTCAAAGCCCAGACCTCTTCCTGGCGGGGAACCCCATCAGATCTGAGCAGAAACTTTCTCCAACCTGAATGTACTGACTTTTAAAGACTGAAAGCTAAAACGCTACAGAAAATATAATTTAAGAAATTTATTTTAGGGTTTTTGCAGTGAAGCCGGTAAATTTATGTATTTTTTTTGTGTTGCTGTCATGCTGTCCTCCTAATATAGACTGTTTTATATATTAGATCAGAGTATAGACTTCCATCCCCTGCTTTCCTCTAAACGGCGTCTGCTTCCTCTCCTGCAGCTGTCGGCGTACGGAGCCGAGCTGTCGTCTGAGGCTTGCAGGGAGCTGGGATTCTCCAGCAACCTCCTGTGCAGCTCCTGCGACCTGCTGGGGGAGTTCAGCCTGACCAAGCTCCAGCCCATCTGCCGGCAGTGCTGCCAGCAGGAGGCTCAGATGGAGACACGCAAGGTACGTTCTAGAACACAGTGGCATCGAAAGCAAAGAACACGTTCCTAAAAGGGAATGAAAGAAACAACAGTTCTGGTTGAAGGCGAAGGGAGACTTTAGTGACATTAAGCAACCTAATTCCTTCCAAAAAAGTAAAAAAAAAAACAATCCTCTGGACTTTGTTTCTAAATTTTAAGACATTTCATATTTGGCGGGGGGCTGAATAGGGGGGGCTTCTGTTCCCTTTACAGGTGAACAGAAGACCTCACCTATTCATCCAGGCCAACAATTCCCTCTAACGACCCCCCTTTCAGAGACATAGACAGGTATGGGGCATTGCAGGCTAACAAAGAAGCCAAACGAATAAAACAAATAAAAAATCTTCAGAATAAAATCTGCTGTTTTCATGAGATTCAAAGTCAGGATTGAGCTGAAGAGGTGAAGAAAATATGATTTGTGAAACACAATTTAAATGGAAGGAAATGTGAGGACGCCATCTTTATTGATAGTTGCATTTTTCTGCAGTTCCCTGCTGCTTAAAGCAGCTGAGTTCGTCGCCCCACCCCCTGTCAGTGGGTTTGTTGACACTGGCTTCAGATCTGCTCCCTCTGTCTTTCTAACACTCCAGGATGACGAAGCGGATCATAAGCCACCTATGGTTAAATCACCCTTCCATGGATAAACAAGGCATATCGGGGGGGGGCATATTCCTTTGTTTTTCCTTTTTTTCTTCCTTTCCTTTCATCAAATCCCCTGGAGTGGATGTGTGGTATCCTAGCAACAGCACCTTCTCAGAAGTGAACACCTCATTACACCTCTTGATGATAACTAAGATGCTTACAGCCAAGATTACTCCTCCTCCTCCTCACAATATGAATTAAAACTGTTGCTTAGAGAAGCAGTTTCCTGCTAATCTTTTTTTTCTTTTTTTGTTAATAAAGTTTTAATGATTTTTAGAACATATTTCTGTATAACCTTCACCAACCCTCCACTGAACAAAAACCACAAACAAAACCGGGAAAAAAAATAAGGTCAGCGCCTATCCAATCAATCAGTTTCATAAATACTTGGCATATAATACAAATACCCTCGATGTTAGCAGAAACGACCGCAAAAGACAGAAATAATCACTTGTCCTTACTTTGCAATTCAGTTTATTTCTATAGCACTAATTCACTAACCTGACTCCTCCAGATGGATTTGCTCCGCATATCCATCTGGAAACCTTCTGTTGAAGTAATTTTGGGAAGGGGCGAAAATACTGGTTAGCTGATTGGCCTATGGTGGTGATAGACGGGCCAAATAAACCAATCAGATCAACGAAGCATATGACGTACTAACAGAGCGACGACGAAGAGGAGCCAATTGATAGATCAAACTCTTGCCGAAACCAGTCGGGAGAAGAGCAAAAACATCTTTTCCTCTGAGAAAAGCCTCCAGAGCAGTGTTTTGCTCTTCTTTCAGTGAAGAAATACTCTGTAATTCCCATAAAACTTGCTCGATAGCCACGCTAACGCTAGTTTCATCGGCTGAAGCCGCCATGTTCTTTAGACTGAACTGTCGCGCTTCTCGTTGCGTCACACCTCAACCCGCCTCAAAGCCAACGCTGATTGGACGTTCGTTTGGTGAACGGCTCCAAATTTTCTTCAACAGAGAGTCTCCAGACTGATCTGCGAGTGAAACCTTGAAAGCTCGCGAGATCAGGATGGTCTCACCAGGCTACCAATTCACAACACGTCATCTCAAAGCACTTTGCAGATCATCCAGTCTGGTGAACTGTCCTTATCCCGATATTGCAGGAGAGGAAATAGTTCCAGGATTTCTTCAAATGTTCTGTCATCATTCAGCCTAACCAGCGTTTGCTCATTATTTCATGATACTTTCCTGATAATCTTAACCGTAGTTAAAAGTATCTGATCTGAAATCTGCTCATTTGATTTAATTTAACTCGAGCAGGAAAAAGCGTCGGCTTTCCTCATGCTAAGCTGAACAGCTCCTCCGATTAGATTTCTATGGAGGGAATTTTGCACAATTTCTTTTGTCCTTTTCTAAATTGAAATTTGGAAGAAGGAAGGAAAAAAAATGTATTTCAGAAATTAAACTTTAAAAAAGTACTTAATCAAAACAATGTTTTAATTTTCTTGTCGTAGCTCTCTTACTTCTCCTACCGTTGGAAAGTTTGTAATCTCCAGACCTTTCTGCAGTCCCTTCATCGTACTTTCCATCTCACCTATACCCCTTTCCCACTGCCTGAAAAACCAGTTTAAACCGGTGCAACCTGCTTTTATTGGCAGTGGGAACAGCTCAGTGATGCCTTTCTACCCGAGTCAGACGACCCGCATTAAAATCTCCTCGGGTCTGATCGGCATGCTGTGGAAATACTAGAGCCGGGTTGACCCGTTTAATTACGTGATACCATTGAACGCAACGTACGGACGTCAACACCCCGCGCCAGTCGCTTCTGATCTAACAAGCAGATAAACATGGAGCAGCTCTGGTGGAAGGGATTCAGACGGATAATAGAGAGAAACAAAAACGCCGGGCGTCCACTGTACGATTGTTTCAATCGTTGCTCGCAGCTACAGCCCAAACTGTACGACCAAACCGCAGGATTTAAAAGTTCATACCTCCCAATGTTTGTTCTCACGCTGTGCGACCCGACGCTCTTATGCGATCTACCTGCTTACACTGTACGTCTAAAAACCAGGTGGGACTCAGCTCCGCAGTGAGATGGCGCTACTGGGACTCGTCTATCTGGAAGCCAAACCAGTAGCAGAGGAACATGAAGCTCACTAGAGTGAAACGCGCTGCCTTGGATATTTGGGCAATTTAGTGCTGAAAGTATACGACGTATTTGGACAAAGACATGGCTGAGCTAACGTGGCTACTACGGTCTGACAGTTTGACAGAAAGAACTCCATTTCACTCATTGCCCCCCCGCCATGCTGCTGGGTTTACAGCTGAGAAGAAGAAGAAGAATCCTTGTTAGCGCACTCGGCGATTTGTCCACGCCCACCTTATGACGGCCGACTGAATTACAAACTTGTTCCATTTTCTCGGACCTTAGGATTCCTGATGGGGGGGTGGTCGTTAGAGGCTGATCGCCCCTCGTTACCCCCTGTATACTACACGACGTATGATCAGGCTGAAAGTCGGACCAGTTGGAAAAATTCTCGCACGACTGGAGAATTGACCCGAAAAGTGCAAAAAAATCGTACAGCGTACTGACTACAAACCTGGCTTCCTTACATGTTGCTCTCCATTTTTTACTTCCCTGATTTCTGTCGCACTGGTGATATCATCAACGCTAATCTAGAGTGATGATGTCACAGACACGCAGCGGCAGGTGGACAGACGCCACGCAGCTTCCAGCTTTATTAGCCAATGGGAAGGGAGCACAATGCTGATTGTTAGCAAGTCGACCCATGTTAGAAAAAATCGCATTATCAGTATGTCACGTTTTTTCTTGGTTCTTTAGATATAGATAAAGCTCAAAGATATGGTTGTGAATTTGAGAAAATACAAACAAATTGAATGACGGAGTAAGAATTAAACAACTATCCCGATACGGTCTTTTTATTTCCGATTCAATACTGATATTGTAACGTTGAGAACTGACCGGTACCGATACTGAACTGATACTATATCGGCATGAATCGTAAATACTCTTATTCATTAGTTTGTTTGTTGGCATATTAGAAAATGCATTATGAAGGGATTTTACTCGGAGAACGATAACTGGAATGTCGGGATCTATTGATACTGAAAATCGGTCCGATATTAGCCAGAAAACAAACGTCGAAATATATCAGCCTGCATTTCAAATCTGCGTTCTAAGCTAGCGGATTAACCTGATATTATTAGTAGGAACGAGAATATCGAGTCACTGACTTTCCTCCACCGACATGGCAAATGATACCAGCGTCCCTGGATACCAGCGACCCATAGTTCTGTCATCAGTGAATTAAAAAATGTAATTTAGGATTGCAGAACTGCATAATATTTAATGATGCAGCCTAATAAAACGGACGATTGCTTTAAAATAACAAATGGAGACATTCATTGAAACGCTAGAGTTAGATAACAGCTGACTGATTGTCCTGGACTCCTACTTGAAGCGCTCGGAAAATATGTTCATACCTGAGAGAAGATTAGCAAAGGAGAAAAATGGTGAATAGGAGATAATCTCTTAACTCCTACAAATGATTCTTTGCTGTTTTCTCAGATTTATTTCTTCTTTCTCATTATTTTAATTTAAATTAACATCTTTTTTATATTTTCTAATTGTATTTTTTAGCTTTAGTTTAGTTGCGTTCTCTTCACTTTGAGCTCAGAAACAAGTAGCCCCATACTTGACCAATAAAGGTGTTTGCTAGCATCCAGCAGACCAATAGAAATGCATCCGAGTTAATCAGGATTAACCGTTTCAGGCCTGTTTACATTACAGACCCAGTGAACCTGAACTCTTGCTTTTTGTTCTGATCTTAAACTGATCTTAAAGATGTTGGAGTCTCTTTATCAGCTGCTGAGTGTAGATTTGCTGCCCCCTCTGTCTTGCCCAGCAGTCTTAACGGTTTAAACATCCGGTTTAAAGGGTGCGTTTGATTCGTTGGCCAGGGCTGTCTTGGTTCCAGTCTATCCTGACTCCATTGTTTGCCTTTTCTGTCTCTTGTTGCAGCTCTACGCTGGAGCCATCCTGGAGGTGTGTGGATGAAAATTGGGGAGGTTCCCTCAAGTCCAGGGTGAGTTCTGAAGGATTCCTTTTGGAATTTTTTTTTCAGGTGGCAGGAAAAATGATTGACAAAAACAGACGGTGACCCCGTTAGACTGAAGTCTCACATCCTCCGCTCCTTTTCAGACCGCCTCCGCTGTTCCTCCCGTCCTGCTCCGCTCCGACTTCCCTGGACCCCGAAAAGACAGCATGCGCTATATTATTATTATTATTATTATTATTAAACTTGTAGGAGCAAAACATGCGGAAATCAATGCTTAATTTAATGACGTATTAAATCCAGCATTAGTGCAGTTTCTTTTCATTGTGGATTTTTGTAACGGGGATTAACTAGGATCATACATGGTTTGTATGAACTATGTTTGTTCTCTACTTCCAAACTCAACGTCTCTTCATCCGTGCCTAAAATAAGAAGTTGTGAGATTATTTTTTTTCAGTGTCCTGTCTGGAAATGTGGCAATAAGAATAATCTCCTTGAGGCCAAAAAGAGCCCAACAGATTTTACTTTCATCAGTGGAGCAGTACGGCTATCGCCATAGTGTTCCACTTGATTTATGCATAAAAATAGCTTTATTATAATTCATGCAGGGAGTTTTACAGATTATATGGACACTGCAATGTAGGTAGAACGGGAAAGGAAAAACAGGAAAAAGGAGAAAGAAAGAGGAGATGATGATAAAACATCTTCAGTCATCACCTGCAAAGAGGTGGAAAAAGAACAGAACAACCAACGGACATGCTACGAGACATACAATAAAGTAACACCTAGATACTATCGCTGAAGTATAAGTAGTATTATTTAATCTGACATGTATACTGTGGGAGCTGAAGATCAGAATATGGGCTTTCTGTGTGGAAGTGAATCTCTAAGCACCTGTAGTTGATTGTGAGAGTGAACTTGTGGATGTAAAGTTTATCCAAAAGGAAAAATGCTCAATAGTTGGTTGTGAAGAACCAAAGACGCGCCCCCCCCAGAGCGCCGGGGACCCAAAGCCCCAGATGCCCAGAGAGCAAAGGTGTCCAGAAGGGGCCAACCCAGGAAAATCCGACCCCCACTAAGGGAAGAGGAGAGACGGCCCCCAAGAAAACCCCATCCACCGCAAAGCCGACGCCCCCAGGAACCGCGGGGACGAGCCCGCAGGCAGCCAGTCCCACCGTAGTGGAACCGCGATCGGCCCCGGGGGTTTTGGAGTTGTGAGATTTGCTCTCGAAAGTTTTGACTGGATTTGAACTTTTAAGCCTCTCGGTATAAAATAAATATTTAGATGGAGAAACCTGCTTCCTGGTCTGTTGAAGCACCAATAGTTTGCATCCAATCATTTAATTAAACTGCCTTTTTGAGGAATATACAGGTGCTGGTCATAAAATTAGAATATCATGAAAAAGTAGATTGATTTCAGTAATTCCATTTAAAAAGTGAAACTTGTATATTATATTCATACATTACATACAAACTCATATATTTCAGATGTTTATTTTGTTTAATTTTGATGATTACAAATGACAACAAATGAAAATCTCAAATTCATCATATCAGAAAATTAGAATATTGTGAAAAGGTTCAAAATTGATGGCCCCTGGTGCCACACTCTAATCAGCTAATTAACTCAAACCACCTGCAAAAGCCTTTAAATGGTCTTTCAGTCTAGTTCTATAGGCTACACAATCATGGGGAAGACTGCTGACTTGACAGTTGTCCAAAAGACGACCATCGACACCTTGCACAAGGAGGGCAAGACACAAAAGGTCATCGCTAAAGAGGCTGGCTGTTCACAGAGCTCAGTGTCCAAGCACATTAATAGAGAGGCGAAGGGAAGGAAAAGATGTGGTCGAAAAAAGTGTACAAGCAAGAGAGATAACCGCACCCTGGAGAGGATTGTGAAACAAAACCCCTTCAAAAATGTGGGGGAGATTCACAAAGAGTGGACTGCAGCTGGAGTGAGTGCTTCAAGAACCACCACACACAGACGTATGAAAGACATGGGTTTCTGCTGTCGCATTCCTTGTGTCAAGCCACTCTTGAACCACAGACAGCGTCAGAAGCGTCTTGCCTGGGCTAAAGAGAAACAGGACTGGACTGCTGGTGAGTGGTCCAAAGTCATGTTCTCTGATGAAAGTAAATTTTGCATTTCCTTTGGAAATCAAGGTCCCAGAGTCTGGAGGAAAAGAAGAGAGGCACTTCATCCACGTTGCTTGAAGTCCAGTGTAAAGTTTCCACAGTCAGTGATGGTTTGGGGTGCCATGTCATCTGCTGGTGTTGGTCCATTGTGTTTTCTGAGGTCCAGGGTCAACGCAGCCACATACCAGGAAGTTTTAGAGCACTTCATGCTTCCTGCAGCTGACCAACTTTTTGGAGATGCAGATTTCATTTTCCAACAGGACTTGGCACCTGCACACAGTGCCAAAGCTACCAGTACCTGGTTGAAGGACCATGGTATCCCTGTTCTTAATTGGCCAGCAAACTCTCCTGACCTTAACCCCATAGAAAATCTATGGGGTATTGTGAAGAAGAAGATGCAATACACCAGACCCAACAATTCAGAAGAGCTAAAAGCCACTATTAGAGCAACCTGGGCTATCATAACACCTGAGCAGTGCCACAGACTGATCGACTCCATGCCACGCCGCATTGCTGCAGTAATACAGGCCAAAGGAGGCCCAACTAAATACTGAGTGCTGTACATGCTCATACTTTTCATGTTCATACTTTTCAGTTGGCCAACATTTCTATAAATCCTTTGTTTTTATTGGTCTTCAGTAATATTCTAATTTTCTGATATGATGAATTTGAGATTTTCATTTGTTGTCATTTGTAATCATCAAAATTAAACAAAATAAACATCTGAAATATATGAGTTTGTATGTAATGTATGAATATAATATACAAGTTTCACTTTTTAAATGGAATTACTGAAATCAATCTACTTTTTCATGATATTCTAATTTTATGACCAGCACCTGTATAAGAATTATGCTCTAATTTGAAGTTACCAACCCGTCGTTATTATATTTTAATTTGACAAACTGGATCTTGTCGACGTTCTTTTTCCTATTTGGTGCGATCGTGGATCTTGACCCGGCTGGACCGGTGCGAAAATTAGCTCAGCTCCGTATTTTGACGACGAAGGACGGAGACGTCGTATGTGGACGGTGACGTGCGGAGGATGTGGAACAGCTCTCATTGGTTAACATGACTAACAAGAACCGTAATTTTCGGACTATAAGCCGCGACTTTTTCCCCATTTTTCGACCTTGCGGCTTTTATAACAATGCAGCTTATCTATGGACTTTAAAAGCTTACAGACACTAGCGTAATACCTAAATCTATGGATTTTACTGTCCACCATGTTGACATTTGCTTCAACACACAAGTACGGTAGCCGCGCGCGGGGGAATGCGGAAGTCCTCCGGAAGCAGTCTTCTACCGCGAGTGGTACGAGACAGAACGACAGCCAGAAAGACGGACATTAAACATAAAAACCCTGCGGTTTATAGTCCGCTGCGGCTTGTATACGTACAAATCATGCAATTTAGCTTCTGCAGCTTATATTCAGGTGCGGCTAATAGTCCAAAAATTACGGTAATCCGCATGACATGCGTGAGTGGAGACGGAGGATGTGGAATCTGGGGGTTAGGAGGGATGTTTGTTCCTTCAGCTTTTTCCATGAACTCACCTGTTCTTCTGTTCCTGCTCAGCTTTTGTGAGGAGCGAGAAGCCGAAGATGTTCAAAGGTCTTCAGATCAAGGTAGCCGATTAATTATCTACTAACTTTTCCCTTCATTATTGTTGCAGCAAAGACGTTGAGTAAATGGGGGGGGGGGAAAATCCAGATTTGCAAAATGTTTTAAGTGCAACTTTGCTTTTTTTTATGGAAGCCTGTTTCCGCCACTCTGTAAAAAAATACAAATTATAAAATAAAATAAAAAATTATAATAATCTCAATATAATGAGATACTATCTCATTATATTGAATTAAAATATGTTACTATATCATTTTTTTTTTTTACAGAGTGGCGGAAACGGGCTTCCATATTTTTCTGATTTTATTTCAAAATATTCTTTATTTATATTATTGATTCTTTTATGTTTTCCAAGTTTTTATTTTTCAGATTAAGTTTTAAAAATTTCATTTTCTTTACTAGATTTTCTACAAATCACCTTCTTTTCACTGTAAAATACAATCAGAAAAAAACTTGAATTTTAAAACAATCTGTTTGGAAATGTGTTAAAAGTTAATTTTAAACAAGATTGGGGGAAAAAAAATTAAAATAAAAAATGTATGAAAAATCTGAAAGAAACAAAATCTGACAAAAAAAAATGCTAAATTGCTCTCAGCTACACAAACATCATCTTTGCTTTTTGCAGTAATGGACCATAAATCCCCTTCCTAATGGATTCTGCTTGTTATTTTAAATCTTGAGCCTCTCTGCCAGATTCCTGCTTATTTTCCTAAAAACATTTTTTCCTTCTCTCCCGTTTGGATCGGCAGTACGTCAGAGGCTCCGATCCTATCCTGAAGCTCCTGGACGATAACGGGAACATGGCTGAGGAGCTCAGCATCACCAAGTGGAACACAGACAGCGTTGAAGAGTTTCTGAGCGAGAAGTTGGACCGAATATAGAGACGCACACAGATTTAATAAAAAAAAAAAATCCTTTTTTTTTTTAATTTAGAAGCTAACGTTCCATCAGATTACAGCGACGAATCAGAGCAGTGAGTAAAATGTGGCCTTTGTTTCAACAGATTGTCTTTGTTTAGCTGTTTGTATAAAACCTGGGCTTGATGGCTGTTTGTTAAATCATTGGCCTGTATGACTGTTTTTGTATCTGAATATGATCAGTTTGTCTCACATAGATTCTTTACAAAAAAAAAACCTAAACCAGTCGATTTCCACATGTTTTGCAAAGATGCCGTCAGGGTTTGGATAAAAACGTCCGTCTGTTATTGTTGTTTTTTCCTGTAAAATGATTATTTTTATGATGCTTGACATTGTGAGCAGCAGCAGGGGAGCAGCCAGCTTAGCGGAAGCGCACGTCAGTGACGAGCTCGCAGTAAACCAGCAGTGGGATGTGAGCTCTGATGGAAATCTGTGTGGTTCTGCTTTGAAGAGGAACTGCTTTATGAGCTGCATGGCCAGATAATTATGCAAAAATAAAAATAATATCTTCAACTTCTTCTAAACGGTGTGCTTTATTTGCTCTGATGCGTCACAAATGTGCTTGTTTGGGTAGCTGTGTTTTGGGTAATCTGCTGACACCTGGTGGTCATTCGTTATATTGCAAGTTTCTCTCTATGCTCCAACCCTGTGAAATATTATAGAAGACAAGCACTTTTTAACATAATGGACTTCTACAAAGCACCGGCATGAGGACAATGTTTTTAATATTGCATCCGCTTTCTTTCTTAGATACAGTTAAAGCTTGAATTGTTCTACATGTGTCCATGATGCATCTGCATTAAGAGGTGAGAGAAGTTATCTTTTAGTACAGCGTGTTACCAGGGATACCAGTATAGAGGTAAGTGCATAAGGTAGCAGTGAGGATAAATCCCAGAGGCCAAAGTGTGAGGAATCGTTGTCACTTTCCACCTGTGAAACCAACACAGCTCCTGTTTTTACTCATTATTAAAAACTAAGAAGGAGCTGGGAGCCCACTCTCACCCCTCACAGCAGAACCAGCTGGTGCCACCATAGTTCTATAGATCTGTGAAATGCACTTCTTTTCAGAACTGAGGTTGATTAAAAGATCCAGACAGAATGAATCTTAGAGAACGAGAAAACAAGCAGCTGATTTTCTTTTATTTCACCATCGGTGACCTAAAGATTTACTGCCCTGAACATAATATGCTCTACAGATTACGTAGTCTGGGTTATTTTGTAACCCAGTTGGATTTATCAGAAGAATGAATTGACATTATTCAATTATTCATAAACATATGTAGTGAAATTTGCTCCATTATTTTTGCAAGCAATGAACTCATTTGGTAAACAAAATTTGAATAAAAAAAATGTAATTACGAAATTACATTTTGAAAAACTACAATTACAGTAACTTCGAGTTTTCGCATTTTTTTTCCTAATTTATTTTTATATTAAGATTTTTGCACAATAAAAAATCTTTAAAATTTGATGTTTTTAGACGTTTTTATTTTCAAGTTATATTTTTTGTTTGTTTTACAGATTTTAGTTTTCCAATAGATTTTTTTTTTTTCGGATCACATTCCCTAAAGTTCTGGGTATGGCTTTCCTCTGGAGGGAGGAGCGAAGACGCATTTCTACTGGTCTGCGCGAACGTTAGCAAAAACATAAATACTGGTGAATGTTCGCATTAAGAGCGAGCGTTTGTTTAAAGGAAGTGAAGATACTGTGAAATGCATTTGGAAAAGATCAATCTGAAAAAAAGATTTGAAAAGAAAATAAAGTTTTTTTTTTATTTTAAAAATTTAATCTGTAATTTCTTTTAAAGAAATATTCAAAAAAAGTTAAATATTTAAAAAAGTTAATGATAAAATCTGAGAAAAGTGCAAAGTTTAAAACCTTTGTTTAAATTAAAATTCTCACCAAAGTTTTCTTTATTACTTACATGTTTTTCAAATTTTAATTTAAAGAATGTGTTTTTGCTTCTAGCAATAATGAAATAAAATTCCCCCCATACTGAATACAAATTCATTTTTATTAGTATAAATGATACAAATAACATATAATTTTCCTTAATCTTTATAGTTTTTCACTACTTAAAATCCCTCCCAAGACAAACAAAGATGTAAGGAGGTAAAATATGGAAAGATTTGATAAACATTTGATAAACTGATTGCTGGTTACTGATGGAAGGAGTCAATTCCCTTTTATCAACACAGATCCAAAAATACAAATATGATTTAAATTCACAGAGTTTGTTTTATTTATTCATTAAAAAAGGAGACATTAATAAATTACAAAGCAAGTTTAGGTTTAAGAGGGAGAATTAGAACTTTATGGAGTCAGAAAAGGGTCAAAATGTTTGTAAACTTCTAAATATTAGTTGAAACTGAAAATAGTTTATATCTAATGTCAAACTTTTACCTCATAATGTGAGAAACTATAAAAGGCAAACATAAAATCAGAACTGAATCTATATTCAGTTCTGTATTTTAATTACACTTTTTCTTTATTTCTTTTCTTTATTGCAGTTTTAGTATATATATATATATATATATATATATATATATATATATATATATATATATATATATATATATATATATATATATATATATATATATATATACTTATCTTTTTTTTTGTTTACACTTTCAATTCCGATTTTTCGCCTTCAGATTTTGACCCAATCTGACAGGAGTGGGCGGGGAAACGCGATTGACAGCTGTCAATCACAGTGGGGCTGAATTGTGAGTTTTTTTCAAGCTGCAGAGAAGAATTATTAATTTATGTTGGCTTCTTTAGTTTCTCAGGTTATAAGGGAAAAAATGTGATATTCAATATCAACTTATATTTTTCTGTTTCAACTTTTATTTTTTCAGTTTCAACTAAGATTTATAAGTTTACAAACATTTTAAACCCTTTTTACTCCATAGAATCCCCCCATTTAAAATATCTTTGTTCCAAAGTAACATTTGAAGGTGATCAGATTATTATTTCTTTGTGGATTAAAATACTTTTCCTTATGCAAAGTAAAGCAGTTTTTCTGCAGTTGTTTTTTCTTCCTCTAAAAGTTGTTTGAACTTTTCTGACAGATCTGCTCTCTTCAGTCTGTTTTGTTTTCATTGGAGGAGTTTATGCGCCTTTATTGCTGATCCCTCCTGGGAAGAGGATGTAGGCCACCTGAGGGTGCAGGGATGCTCCGGACCACGCGCTGCAGCTGCAGGGAACCACGTACCCTGGGCTGGGCGGGGACGCGCGCTGTCCGGGGCACGCCAGCCCCCCGAACGCTGCGCTCTGGTATCCGAAGCCGTGCGCTCCGTAGGGCAGCGCGCCTGCGGCCACAGGCGGCGGCATCTCGGAGATCCGCTGGGCGACTCCGGCGTTAAAGGGCTCACAGAGGGAGAAAGGAGACGGGGAGGAGGAGGAGCAGGAGGAGGAGGCGAGCAGGGTTCTGGCTTTATCTGCGGACACCAGGAAAGAGTCCAGAGGAACCGCTGCGTCCCCGAGCAAAGACGGGAAAACAAAGCGGTCCCTGCTGAGCGGCGCTCTGGCTTTGCGCCGGGGTCTGTACTTGTAGTCCGGATGCTCCTTCATGTGCTGAACCCGCAGCCGCTTCGCCTCGTCGATGAACGGCCGCTTCTGGGAGTCACTGAGCCTCTTCCACTCCGCGCCCAGCCTCTTGGAGATCTCCGAGTTGTGCATCTTGGGGTTCTCCCGGGCCATCTTCCTCCTCTGCCCTCTGGACCAAACCATGAACGCATTCATGGGTCTCTTAATGTGATCTAGAGGTTTGGCCATTTCCGGGGCAGATATTAGAAATGATGGGGATCAAGTTATCCTGTAGAAAAGTTCATGCTCCTGTCGCGCGTAAAGCTGCTGGGAAAAGAGAAGGAGGATGTCTTTGTTTTTCCTTTCTGTCTCTGTTGGGCAGATTCTTGGTATAAAAACAGTCCAAACGGTGTTTAACTGGAAATGTGAAGCTTAAAGCCTGAATGGGAGAATAAATGGGACCAAGTGAAGCTTGTTATGGATGACGCAGAGCGCGTCATCCACTCAGCAACACGCGCTGACATGGTGGGCCGCGCCGGTGGGACTTAAAGAATATAATCTGCTAAGAAAAGAAAAAAAGAAGAAAGCTCAACTTGATTTTTATTTTTAAATCACAAACCTGCTTTTATTTTATTGGGATTTTATTTTATGACAAAAAGATTTATGGAAGATGATTCCTGGAAAGTAGAAAACTGGTAGATGGTCTTTATGATGAGATTTAAAGGGATCATAGAATGATTCTATAGGGTATTTGGTGCTGGTCCTTAAAGGGGAACACCGTTTTTTTTTTTTACATTTATTCCATCATGTTCTACTCACCCATCTGAGTTTAGTGCCATTAGTAGCCGTTCTGAAGATATTCCGTTAGGTTATATCCAGTAACGTCTTCCTATGGGCAACGACTTGAAGGCACAAACTAAACTGTTCATCATTTATTCTTTATGGTACGCCAGCATTCAGAACATGGAGGCCAATCACTGTCCCCCAGACATCCACCAAGCTGCTGAGAAAAGACGCATCATAGCAACAAGCACTCACTCACTGAAACATCAAATTGGAGTCAGAAAGGGGTCAAATGTTTGTCAACTGTTTTGGTAGGGTGACCAGACGACCAGATGTCCGGGACTTTGGTCAGCAGAACCGAGCCTTAGCTCTGGGGCGTTTCGGGAACCCCGGCGGATGCGGGCAGGGAGCCAGTGGCTCCCTCGTGAGGACGGGCGTCTCATGACCCCTTTAATTTCTTAATTTTGACCTTCAAAGAATGAATTTTAAAATACAAAGTATCTTAAAACAATGACTTTATACAATGACGTAACTATCAGTAAGCAGTGACAGCAATTGCTTAGGGGCCCCGTCACTTACACCTGGTTCCCCCCCTACGCAATTGTAGACCAGGACATCTCTTTGGAGATGTAATGGTGCGAAAATTTTCACTTAAACCCACCTGATAGTAGATTGGCGATTGGCTGACTGGACCTTATTTATAGGGCAACACATGGCAGATTTCACCATGATGGTGAGCCGTTTAAACACGACACCAACAGCAAAGCAGACAGTGGGACTTTTAATTACTATGATAATAACTGTGTCTAGTTCATTAGACGGTCTGGGGGTGTTGTACTTCATATGGGGCCCACCCAGATGCTTATTGTTGTGTCATTACGCCATTGACTTTATATCTCCTAATTATGACTTTATCTGTAATAGTTATAATGTTGAAAGTCAAAATTCTGACTCTAAATCTTATATTCATTACTTTCAACCTCCCACTTATGACTTTATATCTAATAATCATGACTTTAAATCTCATAATTTTGTATCTTTATTAACGGCAAATAAAGATATGTAATATTACAACTTTATTCTCGTAATGCTATGACTTTATGCTCAAAATAAAATAAAAAAAAATCTCTAGTCTGGCCCTAATACTCCATCGTATGTTATACATCGGGTAAAAGTGAAAAAAAGAGTTATTGCACCTTTCTGATTCCTGATCCTCCACGGACGGGTCGGTCGTTGGATCGCCAACTTGAAGAGGGAGGATTTGCCATCGAACTTCTGGCCAGAGAAAAAACCCGTAATATGTAGCCAACATTTGGAAGAAGAATGTTTTCAAGATGACTTGGATAATAGCGCGTTGTGACAAACACCAGATACAGCACTGGGACTTGATCAACAGCCGATACCGCACCGTGACAATGTCACTAACCAGTAGGTGGCAGTAGTGTTCTTTGACAAACTTACACTTTACTTACTCTTACTCTGAATTAAAAACATTTATCATTTATTGAACAGGATGGAATCTTTTCAGATTTAAAGAACTTTCAGAAGTTTGAATTCTGAAAATGAGCGACTTTTCCTTTAATATTAAGGTCATTTTTCCCCTCTTATTTTAAAGCCATTTTTACTAGATTTTTTTTTTCTATTGAGTTGTGTGTTTTGCAATCTACGTTATCTAAATTACACTATCAGGCATTTAAAAGTTTACATTTTCTTTCTCTCCAATTAGCACTTGAACAACCCACTTCATAGGGTGAAACTTTTTGTTTTAGTGATCAATAACTTTTGAAAATAAGATATAGGATTATAAGTAATTGTTATAGTTTTACATGATGTACTGCTGTTAATTGCAACAGATGAAACAAATGATTCTCTTTTCTATAACCAATGACACTAGTCTAACATGCATGCATAGTATGCATTGGTTAAAACTATGTAGTGGCCTACATTGTAACGATCTTGGTTCTGTTGTTTTTCTTTAAGTTTTCAGTTTCAAGTTTAGCCAGTTTTTTCATTGTTTTCTAGCTTTATTGGTGTCTGGATTCATTTAAGTTGCTTAGGTTTTTCTGTCTGTCCTCTGCTGCCCCCTTGTGTTCGTTTCCCTTGGCCTCCTCGTCAGCTCTAATCACACCTGCTCCTTATCAGCTCATTAGTCCTACCTTTGTTCAGTCGGCCATAAATACACTCCCTCTGCAGTCCCTCTTTGCTGGTTCCTCGTCTTACCTTTCCTCACCCTGGCTCCTTGATGGTTTTCCCCTGATGTCTCCATGGTTCTGGTTTGTGTTTGATTTTTAAGTCGGATTTTTGGATTCCTGTTTTTGTTGCCTGAGCTCTCATTCCATTCCTTCCAAGAACTCACCTCTGCCTCTCAGCTTCTGCTTTTGGGTCCAAACAAAAACCTTAAAACCAAATCCTGACATACATAGTTTTGTCTTCAATTTAATGTTTCTGTTATGATTTTCTTTTTAGTATTCAGTCTTCTTGGTTTTCCATTTGTTGTCCTCTGCTGCCCTCCTGTGTCTTTCCCTTGCTCTGTTTTCTGCTCTGTCCTCACCTGTTTTCAATCCCCTCGTTAGCCCTCTCTTTGTCTCTGTCCCCTTTAAAAGCCCTCCCTCTTCAGTTCCTGTTTGCAGTACCTGTTTCTGTTCCCGTCTGTTCTGGATCCCTGAACAGGATCGGCTTCCAACATGTCCTCTGGGACTGCAGCACTTGTGGACATTCTTGGACTGATCTGCTAGACCAGGTAGTGGCCAACTCAGATAATCATCTTCTGTCAGATGATCGTGGTCACTTACCTGTGTTTCTCCTGCAGAGTGTCTGAGATTGGGCGGTGCCCCGCTCCCCTCCTGCAGAATCCGCGAGCCTCAGCTCCACTTTAGTTTTCTTTATTTAATAAACATTTTGAACTTTCCTACTGACTGTCTCTCCTTGAATACTGGGTCCATCTGTCCTCTGTTTCTGGACAGTTACACTGGTAGCCAAGTTATCGACATTTCGTTGTCAAGATTCACCTTGTGTTTTTTGTGCAACAACAATAGAGTAAGTCTACACTGCAAAAACGATCTAGATATAGGTAAAAATTTCTTAAAATAAGTGTATTCACCCTAAATTTGAGTAGGTAAATGAGATAGTTTGCCAATGGAATGAGTAATTTTACTCCTAAAATAAAATAATTAGATAATATCCACTTGAAATAAGACAATGCAATTGTGTTTTCTTATTTTAAGTGTAAATTGTCTTGTTCCATGGCAACATGTCACTTTTACCTCCTTAATTCAAGAACAAATGCACTTATTTTAAGAAAAAATGACTTATCTAGATTTAGATTTTTTGCAGTGTAAGTCTATACATTATTAAACTCTCTAATTAGACATAATTTAGCATTTTATTGTGTTGGACAATAGCAATTCTTGTACAAGTTTTGTACGTAATGTAATGATGTAAACTTTTTAGATACATTTTCACCACAATTGAAAGTTAAAATTCTTTTTTTATTAGGGATACACTAACAATAAAAAATCTGTGCTAATATTAATTTCCGATATTAATATTGCTGTTATAAACCGATATCTGTTTGTCTAACATTTGGACATAATTTAATGAACAGTATGTAATAAAATCAGATTTAAATTACTTTCAGAAGTTTGAATTCTGAACACGACCCGACTTTTCCTTTAACTGACTAAATAGGAAAAAGGTCTGAATACTTTATGGCACAGAAAACACAGAAATACGTTTACAGAGAGGATATTTCTTTTAAATCACATTAAAAAGGTTCCAACGGGATTAATCCCAGAATGGAGGGGTGGGGAGCAGTTGTTTTAGAGATATCGGGGGGTCTTTATTTCATTTACCCCCCACAATCCAAAGCAATGCAGGCCCCTTGAAGGGCAGAATAAAGTGACATTAAAGACGGTGAATCGGTGGAGGGAGGATAGGATGACTGCAGAGCTTTTCTTTTTCTGTGGAACAGCTGGAAGGATGAAATGATGGACAGCGGCGCTAAAGCAGCTGATCTGCCTCCTTGCAGTGGTGCTCTTATCTGCTTTGCTGTAGGTTCAGGCGGGCCTCCACACGGGAGGCGCACACCTCCACGCAGGAGGCGCACACCTCCACAGAGAGGCAATTAGGACTTCCAGAGGGGGCAGCTTTTTAAGAACGCTTCCAGCTGCAGAAAGAAACAATAATGTGTGGAGAAGTGATCCGTTTGTCTTTATTCTCCAAAAAGGCTTTAGTTGTTTGAAGAGGAAAAGTTTTTTTCTTCAAGTGTTTAGAGAGGCTTCTAAGAAAGGGCAGCATTTCAGTTCCAGAGAGATGAGGGGGGGGGGGGATAATCAGAAAAGAACAGCCTCAGCTCAAAATGGAGCTCATAATCAGATTAGCCTTTCTGCTCCTTTCATTGGGAGACTATCTTTACTTCTTGTGTCAAAACTGTCCTCCATGCACTCAGGTGGATTAAGGAGGTTCACTCTAGAAAGAAATTGACAGGTGCTAAAAAAAAATGTAGATAAGTCATTTTTTCTTAAAATAAGTGCATTTGTTCTTGAATTGAGGAGGAAAAAAGAGCCATTTTGCCAATGGAACAAGACGATTTACACTTAAAATAAGACAACACTATTGCATTGTCTTATTTCAAGTCCATTTTAT